CGCTTCACAAGTAATAGTGCAAAGACAAACATAACAAAACAAAAGACAGACAAACAGAACAACAGATCGATTTAGGGGCCGAAAGCCTTGGCAAACAGATGGGACTTGAGGGCCCTTTTGAAGGCTTCAAGTGTGGGGATGTTGCGTATCTCCACAGGGAGAGCGTTCCAGAGGGTGGGGGCTGCCACACTGAAGGCTCTGTCCCCGTAGGTTCGCAGTTTGGTGCGGGGGGTGGTAAGCAGGCCACAGTCTGAGGACCGCAGGTTCCGGGGTGGGGCATGTGGGTGAAGGATGTCCGATAGGTACTGGGGGGCAAGGGCATGGAGGGATTTGTAGGTAAGGAGGAGGATTTTGTAGGATATGCGGGACTTGACCGGCAACCAGTGTAGGTGGATGAGGGTGGGAGTGATGTGCTGCTTATAAGAGTATAATACATTATGTATAATATCAGTTAAGTGCTTCAACATAGTTAACATTGCTGGAGGTATGCACAAATATTGATAGATGTCTTGTAATGCACTATTGAGGAACCTGCGACCCAAGTTGTTCATTCAATGCATAACTACACCATAGTTGTGTAGGCCTATATGATATGTCAATAAACCTTAGAAAATCTTGAAATCTTTAAAGGGATGTGCAAAATAGTCATTATATACAGTCTTTAATTAACTATTAGTAGAGAATAACGAGTAATGAATATACTTTATAGGGATCCTATTAATATCTAATAATAAAAATAATGAAATTCAATAACATGCTTTAACCACTAGGTGTCCCTTTATATCAGCTGTGCAACTTTATGGTGTAAATACAGCCTATCTACCAATTGGATCAAATATAAAAGTCAGCCGAATTAGTGTTGATACTGCAAGGAGACGTATTGTGTGAAAAGAAATGTAAGAGGGAAAATAACGTATCTTTAGATGCGGATTTTGTTAAACTAATACGTTTGCGCTGTGGACCAACACTATACATTGACGGGGAAGGGGGTAGCAATAAAGATAACACCATTAAACAGTTACACAACATAACAGAAATAATATCGATAGCAGCGTCCCTAGCAACCACCTTGGTAACAATGAAAACGTTCTATGGACGCAATTTCCTGAAGTAATCTTCGTAATAACTAGCAAACTAAAGATAATGTACATCCACTGCACACATAATCTGAAATAACAACTCACATTTCTCGCATCAAATGACATCAAAACACATTTTAATGGCCAAACTAACTTTAAATAGGCATTTTCCACCGAGAATAAAACGAAGTTCGGCCATGTTTTTTTTCTTCTGCATTTTTGAAGATCACGTGACATAGACTCCAGTATAGGCGGCGCGTGAGGCTCAGGTTTGGGAAGGCTAAATAACTTTTTTTTACCTGACGCTGCCCGCCCCCGGCGTCTATAGCATGGATGTATAATAAGAACTGGATACAGCGTGGGAGGCGGGGCCTCATTCATTCCTATGAGAGTTGCTCAATAGCGCATGATGACAAAATGGCCCAACTTTTGAGAGAGCGAAACGTCACAGATTACCCGGCATGCCTGAGAAGTACCCGTATGTGTGCTCATAGCGCATGCGCAACTTTAACCACGCTGCCTAAAAGGCTCGTTCACATTAAGCACGTGAATTTGCGTACACGTAACAGCACCGCGCGTTCATGACAGCATGGTACTGGATTTATATTAACGAGGCGGCAGTTAGCAGCTAGCGGCTAGCTAGTAAATGATGCTAACTTACACATCAATCGTTATGTACTTTTATATTACGCTGACATCAGGATCTAGTGATATCCAAGCAACAGAGCTTCATTTAGCATGATACTTGTGTGGGTTGTACATGAAACCACTTGGTAATATATAAAAATGTATATGTTGAAGCGGCTGGGATGAGGATCAGCACCTCCAAATCTGAGGCCATGGTTCTCAGCAGGAAACCGATGGACTGTCCACTTCAAGTAGGGAATGAGTCCTTACCCCAAGTGAAGGAGTTCAAGTATCTCGGGGTCTTGTTCTCGAGTGAGGGAACAATGGAGCGTGAGATGGGCCGGAGAATCGGAGCAGCGGGAGCGGTACTGCAGTCGCTTTACCGCACCGTTGTGACGAAAAGGGAGCTGAGCCAGAAGGCAAAGCTCTCTGTCTACCGGGCCATTTTCGTTCCTACCCTCACCTATGGTCATGAAGGATGGGTCATGACCGAAAGAACGAGATCGCGGATACAAGCGGCCGAGATGGGTTTTCTCCGCAGGGTGGCTGGTGTCTCCCTTAGGGATAAGGTGAGAAGTTCGGTCATCAGGGAGGGACTCGGAGTTGAGCCGCTCCTCCTTCGCGTCGAAAGGAGCCAGTTGAGGTGGTTCGGGCACCTAGTTAGGATGCCACCTGGGCGCCTCCCTAGGGAGGTGTTCCAGGCACGTCCAGCTGGGAAGAGACCAAGGGGTAGACCTAGGACCAGGTGGAGGGATTATATCTCTTCGCTGGCCTGGGAGCGCCTTGGGATCCCCCAGTCAGAGCTGGTTGATGTCGCCAGGGAAAAGAAAGTTTGGGGCTCTCTGCTAGAACTGCTACCCCCGCGACCCGACCACGGATAAGCGGGAGAAGATGGATGGATGGATGGATGGATGTTGAAGCCTGTTATGATCAATTGTGAGTTAAAACTTTATCTAAAAAGTAAAGCTGATGATGGATTACTGTGGTGGAGTTAAAATAACAATAGCCTATTTCTTTTTGAAATGTGATGGAGTAAAAGGATAGTAACTGTGATTATTCATGTTAAGTAGCCCACAAGTAACTAAAACGTATAATACTTGAAGGAAAGGTGTAAAATGTTCCCATAAATACCAATATCACAGTACAACACCCCTTGTTGTTAAATACCAACCATGTGTATATATATATAAAATATATATATATAAAATATATATATAAATATGCCGCTAAAACTGTGTAATATACCAGGCTGATAAATCCTCCAAACTGTTACAGGATGTGTATTTTGTGAAATGTGTATTTTTTTTAAATTATAATTTCTTGTTTTGAATCTTTAATACTTTTTTTATGCATACTTTAAGTAACATTAGGCTGTCTTTGGCTCTTTTCTGCTGTAACAATGTAAATGTATTCTGATCTAATTGATGTTTTTGTCAGTTTGTTTCCCTATATTGCGACACTTATTTGGTTTAAGATTATTTCTCCTTTTTTTAGACATCCCCAACCATAGTGGAATGCTGTTGTAAAGGATTGCATTGATCCGTGCATCAATACCTTCACCCAGCTTTGAGGACTCCAATTAATGAAATCATCTTGTGGCTGGGAAAAATGTGAACAAATAAATCTCACAAAGAGTGACTTTCTGGTGTAATCATTATAATATCAAAGACAAGCACTTTAAGTAACAATATATAAAATCATTCAGCAGCAGAGGATGGGGTGGAAACAGCATTTCTAACTAAGATAATTACAATATTACAAGTTAAACATCAAGATGAACATACATTAATTAAAAAAGTACATGGGAGACTTAAATATCCTGCAATATTGTATTAGCAGAATTGGAACAAATGTGCCAAAACATTTCTAAAATAAACATAAACATAAACTGAGGGCTTTCTTCCTGAGCCGCTGGGAGTAAAGGTCCTCCATGGATGGCAGCTCCGCCCTGGTGATGTTCTGTGCAGTTTTCACCACCCTCTGTAAAGCCTTACGATTGAGGGCGGTGCAGCTGCCATACCAGGCCGTGATGCAGCTGTGTCCGTGATGGACACTGAGGAACCTGAAGCTGCTGACTCTCTCTACCGTAGTCCCATTGAGGGCGATGGGGGGCGTGTCCCTCTCTTTGCTGCTTCCTGCAATCCACAATCAGCTCCTTGGTTTTGCTGACGTTGAGATGGAGGTTGTTATCCTGGCACCAAGATGTCAGGTTTTCGACCTCCTCTCTGTACGCCGTCTGTGATCTGGCCGATGACGGTTGTGTCTTCAGCACGTAGGCCCATACCAGTGTCTTGAAGTAGCTGCGCTTCCTCCTGGGCAGCATCCAAAATGGAGAAGAAAGAGAACAGACACACCACAGCTGGGTGAGGCTGGTGAGGCTGGGGAAGATGAGTGAGGGAAAGAGAGAAACAAAACGGGGGGGACTAAGATGAGTGAGGGAAAGAGAGAAAAAGACAAGGGGACTAAGATGAGTGAGGGAAAGAGAGAAAAAGACAAGGGGACTAAGATGAGTGAGGGAAAGAGAGAAAAAGACAAGGGGACTAAGATGAGTGAGGGAAAGAGAGAAAAAGACAAGGGGACTAAGATGAGTGAAGGAAAGAGAGAAAAACACAAGGGGACTAAGATGAGTAAGGAAAAGAGAGAAAAAGACAAGGGGACTAAGATGAGTGAGGGAAAGAGAGAAACAAGACAGGGGGACTAAAGTTTAAGAGAGAAGAAGAACACAGAATGTGAGTGAACAATTAAATTAAATTACACATTTAAAAAAAATAGTGTGAGTAAGTGAATACATCCTTACAAGGAGGACTGCCCTGTCAAATTTAAAAGTTATTCTTGTTAAATATACATGGGGCTAGAATCCAAAATGCAGAACCACTTTAGATTGTAGCCTCAAGGGACTGTTTAAGGTTACTTAAAAACATATCATTTCCCAAATTGGTGAAATGAACTCCATCTCTTAGAAATATGCCAGGGCAGTCAAACTTAATGCAAGGATGCCTTACACTCTCTCCACCCAAACCACTAACAAATGTATCCATCTCTCTGTTCACCCACATTCTGGCCTTGTTCAGCTTTCCCGGATTGGCTTTCCTCCAGTGACATCTCTCATTGATAGATGATAGAATTATCTTCATCTCTGAGAAGTTGTCACTGAGGGAAAGCAGGTCCTGCTTCATCGCTGTGACAAGCTCCACACCTTTGATGTTGCCAAGGTCGTTGCCGCCACAGTGGATGAACAAGACATCCGGGACTGTTCTTCCTCTCAAGGACTGATAGAAAAAGGGAAGAAGTTTCCTCCACCTCAGACCACCCTTGCCAAACCACCACACACGGCAATTGAGACCCAGGTTGCTTCCCATGGTGTGTCTGGCTCTTTCTTCCCCACGTCTAACGTAGCTGCTCCCTATTATCCACACATTGGGACCTAGATAGAATAAAATATATTGAAAAAGGAAAAAAAAGTGGTTACTGGTGATCATCTTTTAGAAAAAGGCGGTACATGTAGCCTGACTTGTCATATCATTTTCATCATATTTTTAAGACTACACAAGTTTAATTTGCATATTATATTACATATAACTCTATACTTGTATATAGAATCATGATGAAACTTTATAAGGATTAAGATTATATATGAATATTACATTAAATAATGCATGACGATTTCATGCATTATTACGAAGCAGGATGTATCAAGTCACTGACTTTTTGTGATAAGGTCACAATCAACTGATTTCACTTATCAGATGTAAAAATAAGGTACAATATATTTGTTTTTGCCATATGAAAGTAAAGGGTATGCAGTCAAAAAATTACTGAAACAAAATGAATAACAATTCTTATAAAAACTATACAGCACCTTGTCCAAGTATGGCGGGAGGCCCACTTTCCTTCAGGATTTCCTCTCTGGATGTCGATCCGGCTATTTCTGCCATCTATAAATAAAGTACAAATGATTAGCTCTTCACGCCTCTTTAAAATAATATGTGTTCTTGAAGATTCTGTATGCATCGTCGTTTACAATGGTAGGGACATTGCATTGGAAATTAGTTGTGAAAAAGATATGTCATTTTTTGTTTTTTCATCTCACATTTATAGATTTTAAATACAAATATATATATATATATATATATATATATATATATATATATAAAACGAATTATAAATGCAAAGTCTGGTTTCTAGAAAGTTAGCTAATGCATACAGAGTTAACATTGCAGTACTGCTGGCACGCATACATTTCTAGCATTTTGGTTAACTATGAAAAGTATGGAAAATTACTGTACAAACACCCAACATTAGCTTAGCCACAGTAGCGGTTGCTGATGAGTGGTTTGGCTTATTTTACTCTTTTATATGAGAACATGTTACATTACATACAGACATTACGGAGGCAGGTTAGAAAATAAATATGTTTTCGTCTCTTACCTTTTGGAGCAAACGGTTGTCGGTTGTTAGCATATACTGTATATATAAAGCGTTGTCTCTTTAGCCTCAGTGACGTGACAGTGAACACTGAACGTGACCGCGTGTGAAGGGGGAGGGGCGCGGGGGATTTAGGTCTGGGCTGCGCTATATTCAGCCTCTCTTTCCAACATCTCCTGTGGCGGCAATCCACATTTCTTTGTCTTTGCAGCAAGATATTATAAAATGCCTTCTTGTGTTGCCTACAACTGTGTGAACCGAAGTGAAGGGAGTGGTTCTAACATTTCTATGCACCGGTATGTGAAAAAAACATAATCAATTACAGTCTATAAATATATAACATATTATTTTAAGTAAGCTAATGCTAGCAAGCTGAATAATATGCTAGACTTAAACAAATAGCTTTAACAATTGCTAATGTGTGATTACCACTCTCTTCATACATCTATGATCAGGGTTAGATTAGAAAAATAATTATGAAAGAACAACATATGATAAGTAGTTGTTTTGTGTCGAATAGTGAATTGTAATACCTAGTTAAGCCTCCTGTTAAATTTATTAAATATTCCTTGGTCAATGTGACACAGTGCATGTTTACCTCCCACCAGACCGTGTGTGTCTGTCTGTGTGTGTGTACTTTAAAGTATTTTTCCTAGATTTTAAAAAGGGGTACATTTAACCCTGAATGTAATAGGAGGGATAATAAATACAATTAAGATAGGCATACCACTCAAGCTATGATATAAATATGGTTACAGTTTTCCACGCCATGACAAAGCAAGAATGTGTCAGTGGGTCAAGAAGATCAATCGCAAGAATTGGAAGCCAAACTCCAACTCCCGCATATGTGCTCTACATTTTACCGAGGAGTGTTTTCACACCGTCAGAGAACTGAAATCATCTGCTGTCCCGACTGTTTTTGCCTTCCCCTGCGTCCACACAACATCCAGGACACAGGTGGTGAGTATGGCCCCGAAGGTAAGTGACACTGTTTGCGTATCAGAGGTTAATGACAACATTGTGATGGAGGAAGTGCACGAGGAAACACATTTTGTGTCAGATGTAATCTTTCATCACAATGATGATGAACATTGTGTTGAGGACACAAAGGTACAACATTTTGAAGTGAGTGACAGCATTTCAGCCTCTGCTGACCACACTTACCATAAATTACAGCACCGCACCACCAATGAGACTACAATACAGGAAGGTGCAAGTGTCAGAGAGTTATCGGACGATAATGACAACATTGTGATGGAGGAGGTGCACGAGACATTTTGTGTCAGATGTAATCCTTCATCACAATGATGAGACACTGGAACCGTGTGTTGAGGATTCACATGCACAAAACACTGCAAATCACAACATAATTTCAACCACTGCTGACCACAGTTATTTTGCATCTCCCAATAAGCTGAAGCACAAATTCGAAGTTAAAATAAACAAAATGGATAAAAGATTGGTAAATTGTCGCAAAAAACTAAGAGTGGAAAAACAAAAAACCACACGTTTAAAAAGAAAAATTAACTGTTTAACTGAGGTTATCAGTGAGCTGAAGCAGAACATGCTCATCTCAACAGGTTGTGCTGAGATGCTGGAAGCCTCTTTTAGTGGAGTGCCAAAAGAAATACTCATCAGAGTTAAACAGAGGAAAAAGCAAAAAGTGTCAGAGGAATTGCGTTCATTCGCAATGACTCTGCATTTTTATTCCGCTAAAGCTTATGCTTATGTGCGTGAATGCTTTGACCTTGTTTTGCCACATCCCGAAACCATCCGGTCGTGGTTCAGCAAAATCTCTGCAGATCCTGGATTCACACAATCAGCATTTTCTGCCATCAAGTCTTGTGTCGAAGAAAGGAAACGTGAGGGAAAGGAAACCTTGTGTGCTCTCATGATGGATGAAGTGTCAATACGTAAGCATGTGGAATATGCTGCTGGTAAATTCCATGGATACGTGGACCTAGGCTGTGGCGTCGTCGATGACAGTTTACCACCAGCCAAAGATGCCTTGGTCCTTATGGTTGTTGCTATTGACTATTCATGGAAGATACCAGTAGCGTACTTCTTAATTGATGGATTGACAGGAGAAGAGCGCGCTAATATCATCAAGGAGTGCCTTCTACGACTCCATGCCATCGGAGCTTGTGTATTGTCATTGACATGTGATGGTCCATCATGCCACTTTGCAATGTTGAGAGCCCTTGGAGCAAACATGGATGTACTTAACATGAAGCCATCATTTCCACATCCAGCTGATCCCTCAGACACAATCCATGCAGTGCTTGATGTGTGCCACATGCTCAAGTTAATCCGAAACACATTGGCTGATCGAGGTACGTTGCAAACTCCAACAGGAAAAATCAGTTGGAAATTTCTACAAGAGCTGAACAAACTTCAGGAGGCACAGGGACTGCGACTTGGAAACAAGTTGAAAATGGCACATATACGGTGGGAAAAACAGAAAATGAAGGTTAAGCTTGCAACCCAGGTTTTCAGCAGCAGTGTGGCAGATGCTTTGGAGTTTTGCAACACAGAGCTCCATCTACCACAGTTCAGAGGATGTGAAGAGACGGTTGAGTTCCTGAGAACTATTGATGCTGCCTTCGATGTCCTGAACAGCAGGAATCCCCTAGGGAAAGGTTACAAAGCACCTATCAGGACATCCAACAAAGAGCGTGCAGAAAAAATCTTGCTGAAGGCAGAAAGGTCTCTCCTCGAACTGAAAGATGAGAAAGGCATACCAGTGCATGCTGGAAAACGGAAAACCTGTGTGGTTGGTTTCATTGCCAGCTGCATAAGTGTATGGAATGTTTTCCAGGAAGCTGTGTGTAAGCCAAATGCCCAGTGCCGTTACCTTCTCACTTATAAGCTGAGCCAAGATCACCTTGTGCTGTTCTTTTCGGCTGTCAGAGCACGTGGTGGATTTAACAACAACCCTACTGCAAGACAGTTCACAGCTGCATACAAGCGTCTTCTAGTGAAGTTGCAAGTGAGGACTGGAACAGGCAATTGCATCCTCCGCGATAACACATCCATCTTGGGGGCGACACATGCAGCAGCTAACACCTTGCGCAGGTATGACTTGAAGCCTGTTGAGCATGCAGAGCCAGAGCATGATTACCACCTATGCCTAAATGTTGATGCTGTTTCTGAGTACAAGGAAGCTGCCATCAACTACATTGCTGGCTCCAAGCTCCGTGTTACTGTCTTGAGAAACCCAAGCAGATGTTGTGAGCATCTTCCACTGTATGCTCCTTAGAGCCAGCGGAGATGTCACGTCTCTTACCCTCTGAGTCTCTATTTGTTGTGTTATGGGACCCTCTAGTGTCTGAACACGGTGGTGCCCCATTTCGACAATCCCCACCGACACTGCGCATGCGCATGACGGTGGTGCCTTCACAGCCCCAGCCGGCACTGCGCATGCGCGTGACGGTGGTGCCTTCACAGACCCATCTATTATCCGCCTTTTGAGCTTCTGAGCTGCTCTCAGAAGGGGAACAGTTGACGGACTGTTTATTGTTTTTATTGTTTTTCTTTTCATTTTTTTGAGCTGCGCCCTTGGCCTGAAGCCTGGATGCGTCAGCGGAAAATGGTTTATTTGAGAAACAACAACAAACTTGTGACATGTGTTTTTGCGGACTTGAGGATGGTGTTGAGGCATCTCTCGAGGCGGCGGGAACACATCTAGAGCTGGGGAACCGTGGACTTCCAGCTATGTCACAGAGGGGAGAAGGAGGGGCTGTCAGGCCGCCCGCTTCTTCTTCCTCGACTGCTGGCCGAAATTCTGGGTCGGCTGCGCCTGGGCTGCAGCCGGAACCGGAGATTTTCTAGGCCAACTCGCCCTCGTCTCCTGCCTGGGCTGGGGACTCGGGGCGGGCTGCGACCTCTGCTGTTTAGGTATTTTGAACCGAGCAGGGTTCGAGGCAGCTTGGGCGAAGGACTGCCGCTGTGAAGGCAGCGGCTGGACCCTTCGAGGGAGGCAGAGGTGGAGGGCCTCGTCCTCCTTATTTTCTCTGCATGGAGGCGAGAGCGGAGCCGAAAATCCCCTCGGGAACGATGGGCATGTCAAGCACATCCTCCTTTTCCCGGTCTGGGAGGTTGGTGAGGTTGAGCCATCTAGCTCTAGACTTTTCTGGTGATTCTAAAGTAGATGACAATGTATGTGTGTCGCTTAAGAGGAAAAGATGCCTGTTTTTGTTGTTGTTATTACTGTCAGGAAATGTACAACCTAACCCTGGTCCGCCCAGTAGTAGTAGTCAGATCGTTACTCCTGCTGATTTTAAAGCTAGGTCTGGGTTGGGTTTCATCCACTTGAATGTGCGCAGTCTGTTAGGTAAACTAGATTTTGTCCGTATCTGGGCGAGCTCGACTGACGCTGACGTCATTGTTTTATCAGAAACATGGCTAAACAAATCTATTTTGGCCTCTGACATTGCCTTAAATGGTTTTAATTTGTATCGTACCGACCAGCCTAATAAAGGTGGTGGCATTGCCATTTATGTTAAGAATAAGTTCATTGTAACCGCTGTAGTTTCCAAATCTATCAGTAAGCAATTTGAATTTTTAGCCTTAAATATAGAAATGGCAAAGGGCCAAGAGGTCATGGTCGTGGGCTGTTACAGACCCCCCTCAGCTGTCAAAGACTCCTTGTCTTCGCTAGCAAATCTTTTATCGCAACTAGACTACAAGGAAATAGTGCTACTTGGACATTTTAACTGGGACTGGTTAACTGCAGTGTCAGAGGATTTTAAAAACCTTTGTATCTCTTTAAATGTTACTCAGATTGTTGACAGTCCTACTCACCCTAATATTAAGTCCCCAACTAAATCCTCCCTAATTGATCTCATTTTAACTAATGTTCCCTATAAATACTCAGCTGTGGGAGTATTTGCGAATGATTTGAGTGACCACTGTGTTGTAGCCACAATAGACCTATCGCTAAACCACGCCCCAAATAGAATTTGTCCAATCATATCACAGCAAAAATCCCTCCTGGCAGAAAACTCGGACATCACCA